AGCATTCACCACATCTCTCTCAGGAATAACCTCGTTGAGAGCATCCAAATCGGTGAGGATAGTGGCAACTTCATCAAGGTACTGGGTGATAGTTTTTGTACCTTTTCGGAGTGTGTGAAGTTTGTCCCGTAGTTGATAGATGTGAGCGGTAGAAACAGAATTATACCGGGCAGCGAGAGCGTTCCATAGATCGGCAGATGTGGTGAAGTTGCGGACATGCTTGTGAACAGACGGACTGATGACAGCAAGAAGGCATGCACGGATCTGAGTATCAATCACAATCCATGTTTGGAATTCTAGGTTAGGGTTTTCCTTGCCATCCTTGGATAGGATTTTTGGAGGTGCAGCTTCATGACCATCGATCCAACCAAGAAGAAGGTTGGCCTCGAGAGCAGTTTTGACATTGAGAGACCATGCAGGATAATATGAATCGGTGAGCTTCTCTGGGATAAGATTATGGAGATTGCGGAGAAGAAGCTTGACGCCAGAAGGAAGCGAAGCAAGCGGATCTGAAGATTGAGCCATGGTTGCCGTTTATGGTCGACCGGCGAGAGGAAGGAGACCGGCGGTGAAGGCACAGTCTCGAAAAAAAGGGCTAGGGTTTAAACCTGGCTCCGATACCATGATACAATTTGATAATAATTTGTCTTATTGAATATTGAGAAATATGTTCCTATATATAGGAATTACAAGAGAGAGTCCTATTCCTAGTAGGAAAAGAATAAAGTAATTATGGTAATACAAGAATAAGAAAACTAAATAATATTAGGAGTCTTCCTATTAATGGAAAAGAGTTAAAGTTTATGGAAAAGTATAACTTAAATAAATACTTTATGAGAAAATATAAAAGTTTATGGGAAAGAATTCAAGTTTGTAGAAAAGTGTAACTTAAATAAATACTTTATGAGAAAATATAAAAGTTTATGGAAAAGAGTTAAAGTTTATGGAAAAGTGTAACTTAAGTAAATACTTTATGGAAAAGTATAAAAGTTTGTGGGAAAGATTAAATGCAGTTAATGCACTTAAGAGACACGCATATGGGGAGACGAAATTTGACGGATTGACCACTCTTTTCACGTATTCCAATGTAAAGATATCATTACTTTATAGGAAAGTGTAAAAAATTTTCTGAAAGAGTTGAAGTTTATGGAAATTTGTAAATTAAATAAATACTTTATGAGAAAGTGTAAAAGTTTATGGGAAAGAGTTAAAGTTTATGAAAAAATGTAACTTAAATAAATACTTTATGGAAAATGAAAAAGTTTATGGGAAAGAGTTAAAATTTATAGAAAATGGTAACTTAAATAAATACTTCATGGGAAAGTATAAAAATTTATGTGAAAGATTAAAAGTTTATGGAAAAGTATATTAATTTAAATAAATACTTATGAGAAAGTGTAACAGTTTATGGGAAATAGTAAAAGCATGATATGACTTTACACTGAGAATCGTGTGATGGTGCTTTGATAATGTCGAATGCTTTGGACATGCTTTCATTAAAGAAACACTGTTTTTCTAGGGTTATGTTCAAATCACATCTCATCCTAAAGCTTTGTGTTTGACTTGACAATTTAATTGATTTTGTTATTGTACGCTATGTTTGTTCAACATTTATTTTAACTTGATTTAGAAATATAGTATACAAAGAAGTTTTCAAAACCTTTAATTTCATTTTTTTGTCTCCATTATACATTCCTTAATATTAGTATATAATACTTTTAATTTTTATATTGAATACAATTTCGTTATGTTGTCTTTATATACACTAAATTTATTTTTAATTTTCTTTTACTGACTCAAAATATTGTCCGTGCAACGCACGAGTTAGAGAACTAGTTATTACAATGCAAACTCTTATTTTCAGATAAAAACATGAAGATCTTCTTTTGACACTTTTTCTATATTTTACTTCTATTTAGAGTGATTCTCTATCCTAGTTTACACCCGTAGCTAGGGGTATTCATCGGTCTAAAACCGGACCGAACCAGACCAGAACAAAGACCGATTTACACTAAAACTTGAAGACCGGACCTACTCAGACTGAACTCGGTCTTGGACCGACTGGACCGAAATATTATGGACCGAACCTATTCAGATAGAAAGGACCGACAGAACCCAAGCTTCTGAAAAGGCTCCGTAGAGTTTAGGCTTCAATTTCAGATGTAATATCTTGCGTTTCACAATCCAGAGTCCAATTTTGATTTGTATACAAATTTTTACAATTTAAAAATTTGAGATATGGATAAAAAATTGAGGGATGGATAAGTTTTAAATAAAAGTGAAATTAATTTGGAAAAATATCAAAAAGGGATTACCGAATGACTAATTGACTATAATCCACCAAATAGTTTGCCGCTGCTCTATTATTTTCCGGCATCGGCACGCTAAAGAGATAGGCAATGGTGGGAGACTGATGTGGTTGCGCCCCGATGCTCTGCTTATTGCCGTCTGAAGCCGGCGCCATGGTGGGAGACTGATGTGGTTGCGCAGTGACTGAATCCGGAGATTGTAGGAAGAAGATGACGGATTGACAGAGAGAGAGATGGAAGAGGCTACTAATGTTGGAAAAGGAAAAAAATAAATATAGAGAGAGAGAGAGATGAAATTAGGGCCCCGTTTGGCATCAACGTTAGAGATTCGGCCCCGTTTGGCATCAGCGTTAGAGATTAGCGTTAGCGTTTTCAAAAAGCTATCCGACGGTAGCCTTTAGCGTTAGCGTTTTTAGATTTAATCTACACCATTAAAATTTTATCCAAAACGCTAACACTAATCGAAAACGCTGTTACCAAACGAAGCCTAGATCTACAAACTCAAGAGGAAAAGGGAGTAAAGGGAAGGGAGTAAATCAGGCCTATCGTGGAAATGTTTGGTCAAAAACAAAAGTACAGAGTAAATGGATAATTTCGGTCTTCTCGGTCCAGACCAAATGGCAATCGGGTTTGGACCGGACTGGACCGAAACCTGAAAATTTAAAAAGCTGGACCAAAGACCGACCCGAAATTTATTCGGTCCAGGTTCGGTCTGGACCTATCGGTCCAGTTCGGTCGGTTTTTCAGTCTGGACCTAAACATGAACAGCCCTACCCGTAGCACTATCTTTTCGATCAGTTGGTCACGCCCACTTAATTTTCCTACTAGGATTTGTAACGGAGGACACCACCAACGGATGAGTACATATACAATACATTTGGATATACCATTTTTCTATACATCTCTATGAAAATTCATTTTCAAGTAATGACATACTCTTTTTCAAATACTCCCTCCGTCCTATATCTTTCTTCCCGGTTCGCAAAACGAAGAAAAATCCCAATTTTTTTCAATCTATTTTATTTAAATATTGGTATAGAAATAAAAAATAAAATATACATATTTAAAAACTACATCAAAAATTCAACAAAACAAGTGGTGACAAGAATATTTTACTTTATCATATAGGCCATGAAAAAACACAAATAAATATAAATTCCCGTGAAGTTGGAATAGTGCACTGGGAAGAAAGTTTTAGGACGGAGGGAGTAACAAAATACACATTTTTAAACATAATTGAATTTTAGAAAAAAATAAATATTGAATTATTCGAAAATGAATATTAAATTACTTGTAAACGAGTACTCGTAATAAATAGAGTAAATTCTATAATTGATCCTTCATAACAGAGGATTTTTCTATTTAGTCCTCTATTATCAAATATTACCTTAGTGGTCTTTCTTTTATGGATATCTTTCCACAAATAGTCCTTTTTAGATCTTCTATCACGTGGGAGTTAATTTAAGGCCTAAAAGTGTAATTTCACAACGATAATATATCCTTTTTTATCATACACAATTCCAAAAGTTGTTCTGTTTGCGTCGTCTGTGAATTACATTCGTTTTCTTATACAACCATAGTCTATAAATGTAGTTTTTTGTCGGAATCCTAGCCCACAATCATAGTCATTATTTTTGTGTTACCCGCTTAACCAATATCAGAACACGTCACTAGACATAATGTTGATGTCAAATTATACTTTTAGCCTTTAAATTAATACCTACATGGCGGAAGATAAAAAAAATGATCATTTGTGGAAAAGCACCATTAAAAAAGGACTACGAGGATAATACGGAGTATTTGATAATAGATGGCTAAAGATGAAAACTTTCCTATTATAAAGGATTAATTATGGAGTTTAATCTAATAAATATAAGCTAAACAAATATATGGGGTTCATAGTTCACCCAAAGCAAAGTGAGCAAACATGTGACCGGGATTGGATGACAAGTGAAATCTCAAAGCACAAATATTACACACTTCTTCTGTCCAACCACACCATTCCAACTCAGCTTCCCTTATCCATTTTCCCTCCTTTTTTCTTCCTCACACCATATCCTCTCTCTCTCTCTCTGAGCAAAAGCCCCCGATCGGCCAAAATCAATTGAGAACAGAAAATGTCATTCACAATCCCCGCAAGCCTCTCGAAGCCCTGCAATCCAACACCGAGGTCGATCGCGAAGCCGGCTAGGTCTTCCGCTCCAGTAATCTGCTCTGCAACTTCCTCCGCCAATGGATCCACAGATCCGCCGCCGTCGGCGTGGCTGAAGGCGTTCCCCGCCGCCTTCGCAATCTCCTCCGTCCTCTTGTCGGCGCCTGCGCTTCCAGCCGCCGCAGACATCTCGGGGCTGACGCCGTGCAAGGAGTCCAAGCAGTTCGCCAAGCGGGAGAAGCAGCAGCTGAAGAAGCTGGAGGCGGCGTTGAGCAAATACGAACCCGACAGCGCTCCTGCTCTCGCTCTCAAGGCCACCATTGAGAATACTCAGCGCAGGTAAAAACTGCTCTCAAGCCCTCCTCCATAGGTCGGGTTTGAATTCAGGAAATCCAGATTCCAATATTCTAAATGTTAAATAGTCGATTAATTTTTCTCCATTTTGTGTTAGAGATGCATTGATTTTAATATATTTAGCTAGCATTAGATTTGTTTTAGATTGCAATTTCAAAAAGTATGGCCCCGTTTGGTACACTGAATTCAAATTATGGAATTGGAATTGAGGACTTCAATTCCAATTTTGGTGTTTGGTAGTACAAAAATTATGTGGATTTGGAATTGATAGTGCAAAAAATGAATTGGAATTGGTAGAATTCAATTCTATGGAATTGACTTCAATGGAATTTCAATTCCAATTCCGGCAATTCCGTATACCAAACAGAACCTAATACATTTAGAATTCTGTTTATCTTTAGTCATATACAAAGAGTTTTTCTCAATATATTTTTGACCCAAACTATTGAAAGAAATTGGATGTGGGAACTTAGTTTTTGAGACGAAGCTAGGATTAGACTGATAGAATAATTCAATCAACTAGTAATAATTCTTCTAAAGCTGTTTTAAGTGATTGTTTCAAAACAATTGTAGTCCTTTTGCTCTAAGATTTCTTTTCGTTCTTTGCTGTCCTACAATTGTTTCCCTCTTTCTCTTAAGTAAAGACTCTTGTTGTTATTCTCTTGTCGTGTTTTTAATTGAACTACGAACACTATTCATGAAGACATTTTTAGGACATTGTAGTAGTCAATTAGAATTTAGAATGAAATATGAAATACTTTGCTTTTTATTTAAACGGCGGTTATGTAACACTATGAGTCCATATTTGAACCGTATTTAAACTATGAATCCAGATATAAAACTCCGTCTCGAATTTGTTGTCTTGAATTCTGATGAGATATGTTTATATTGCTCTAAGAATTGGCCCAAACACCTAAAGTGTGTAGTTTTAAGTCTAGAGTTTGTTTGTAAAAGTATAAAACAAGACCATTGTGTATTTTTGTCAAATAATTACAAGGATGAATATGACACCAATGGTTTGGTTTGGTCTGGTTTGGTTTGAACAAATGATATGATGGAGCAGATTTGAGAAGTATGGGAGTCAAGGGTTGTTATGCGGATCAGATGGTCTGCCACACTTGATAGTGAGCGGGGATCAGAGGCATTGGGGAGAGTTCATCACCCCGGGGCTACTCTTCCTGTACATTGCAGGGTGGATCGGGTGGGCTGGGCGGAGTTACCTGATCGCCATTAGAGACGAGAAGAAGCCGACAATGAAGGAGATCATCATCGACGTCCCCTTGGCCAACCGACTCATATGGAGAGCCTTCAACTGGCCCGTCTCTGCTTACAGAGAGTATGTCAATGGGGACCTTGTTGACCCTAATGTCTAAATCCTTTCATGTATACAATCTAATGTTTACTCTTTGTACCATGCGTACCGAGTATGATATTTGCTCTTAAGTTTTTTTTTGTTTATCTATTACTTCCTCCCTCCTTGAAAGACTTTCCGGTTGTGAGTTATGATATATAGTGGTGTAAAATTGTAAAATAAAATATACTTTGTATTTTACACGCAAATCCATCTTCTAAATATCACAATATTTGTACATTGAAATTTCTATTTAGGTGTTGATGGTAATAGTTTTCACGCAAGAATGGTCGGCCAACATGATTCCAATATGTGGTTTTCCTATCCTCCATTGTGTATAAACACATTTATTAAAACACAAGCATGATTTGAATAGATAATTAAAATTTGTTTGCGTACAATTTAACGTTGATCTACAAATTAGGCAAATTCTTCTCCGGATTTAAGTCCATACTCATTATATCGACCTTAGTCATTTGTATTATAAAAGAAGTGGATTTTTTCAAAAAAAAATCCACATGCAAGCCCACACATTTAAAATGGGGACCTTGAGATCATGTATGCATCAGGTAAATTTTTTAATGAACCTAAGATCTATGTTTATTATGTGGACCTTAGTGTATTTTTAGTATAAAAAAAGTGAACTTTTTCATAAAATAAAATATTACGGAGTAATTTGCAAACTCATGAAAAATGTGAGAAAGTCTATATTTTAAATATGGACCTTGAAATCATGTAAGCATCGTCACCCTTCCCTCCATGAAGAAAGTGATAAAAAGAAATATTTGAATAATTTATTTGGGGTCGTGGAGAGTTGTATAAAAGACCCAGGAATAGCCTTTTTCAGCATAAAACACAAAGACGGTAATGATGCATAAGACTATTCCAGTGTACCAAAACAGAGTAGGAGAGCCTTTTATTTCGTAAACCACACCTTTTGTATGTCATATAAATCCCATGCTCCCTTTGCATGTAGGCCATAATTTATTTGGGTGGGTACGACTACTTTGTTGCATCCTGAAATTGGTGTTTCACAAGATGTGCAACAACATCATACGTAGCTTGTCGTGTTTTACCTTGACGTGCTCAACAGGGCATTGATGTTCATGGTCATACCTGTATAATTATTGGGAATTAAAACAATAAGAATCATTATGTAGACATTATATAAGCCTTCCTATGAGACATTATACAAAGAGTTCATGAGATTATGGACATTATAGAATATACACAGAGTTCAAGAGAAACACAAGGAAACTATTACAGAAAGTAAATAATAGGTGAGTTAGAAAACTATCCGAGGTCATTACAAATATTAAATAGTTATTATGATAATATACAAGGAATGAAAGGTCAGGTCATTGAAGAAAAATTGAATGGACATTACGATCATTTATTAGGAACGAATACAGTCCAAGCGCGCACCGCATGGCACCGCCCAGCTGCATCTTTTATAATCGAGGCATACAACATGGAGGAAAGTTTTGTTTGACTTTTTTTGTCTTGAAGACTTGAACTGAAAGCAATTTGCTATAGCTAATCTCTTGAGATGGAAAAGAAGATCCTTCTTACTATCATACTCCCTCCGTCCCGTGAAACATGGGAGTTTTGCTTTTTAGGATGGATTTAAGGAGAATGTATTTTGGTATTGAATTTCCAAAAATATCCTTTGATGTGATGGGCAAAAATTATGATTTGATGGATAGATTATTAGTAAAAAGGTATGATGTGATAGTTAGAGTATGAAAAAGTAAGGGGTAAAAGTGACTTTTTAATAGAAATGAGAAATGTTTTGTGGGACGGATAAAAAAAGAAATGAGAAAGGTTTTATGGGACGGAAGGAGTATATCGCATGCATTTGGCGCAATCCTAGTTGGATCAAAATTGGATATAATAAACTTCAAATCCCTTAACATTGAAATGTACGTCCTTCGCACAAATGTGTGTACTACATGCCCAACTGCATGATTCTCCGCCTGGGTTTCCACGACTATGTCCCATACGCCAAAAACAGGTGCTATATATATATATATATATATATATATATATATATATATATATATATATATATATATATATATATATATATATATATATATATATATATATATATATATATATATATATATATATATATATATAGAAAAAAAGAGAATGCCCTATCTATGGATGGGAAAAGTGCAATGTTTTAGTGCTAATTGGAGAAATTTTTTAATAGATATA